CACTTCATTCGCACCCGTTCACCGCGCCGCGCGGGGGGACTTGGCGGCTGGACAACTAAGGAGGCTAAGGAGTTACCCGACGACATCCTTCGCCTCTTCGCCAGCGTCTTACGTGCTATGCAACGCACTGGCACCATCCCAGAGCCCCTCCTTCACGTGCCAAACCCGTGCCTCCGAAAAGGCCGAGGGGAACTCCCGACGGACCAACGACTCCTCTCGGTTCTTTCCGTTTGGATGTACGCGTGGGAAGCGCCAGCCTACCGCAGCCTCACGGACTGGCGGAAAGGATGGACCCACGCCACGAGCTTCGGCGCTGTTCCCAAAGCTACCATTGGGGATGTCAGCACCTCTCTCGCCCTGCGCATCGAGCACGCCAGGGCTTTACTCCTCCCCTTAGCTGGAGCTGCCCTTGACCGACAGAAGTGCTTCGACTACCTCATCACGGACATCTGCCTTAACCTTGCGCTGCACGCGGGGTGCCCCCAAGACATCGTTACCGTCCGCCGAAAGTTCTACAGTCACCACAAACGCTACATCCGCATGAACGGAGCGTACTCTAAGGACTTGGCCAGGACTAACGGTCACCTCCAGGGAAGCTCGTGGTCCCTGGACGACATCAAGCTACTCATGTGCGTGTGGACAAAGAGGCAGCATCGATACGTTCCTCGATCACTCAGCACTACCTTTGTTGACGACAGCAACTCCACTACCCACACCGCGTCGGAGCTGCAGAAATCTCTTGACGAAACCGCCAAGTTTGATCGATTCTCTGGTCAACGCATTCACCCTGGTAAAGTGGCAGGGTGGGCGCTCACCGACGAGCTTCACGCCGCCGTTACCCAGCTCACTCTGGCGGAACGGCCCTTACGTGTGGTCGATTCCTTCAAGCTCGTCGGGAGTTACATCAACGCCGAGGCAGCGCCGGCTCCAGCCGCGCTTTACCTCACGGCCACCGCAGACGCCCGTGTGCGGAGGGCGACTATCCGCCTGCCGCGCATTGGCAAGCTCCCGTCGCCGATGCTTATCAAGGCGCGGCACGCCCGATCCCTGGCCGCCAGCGTCTGCACCACGGGCACCGACATCCAAGCACCATCAGGCCCAGCCAAGACTGCCTACACCCACGCCCTCAAGGCGGCTATCCGCCCCAAGGGGAACAAGTGGGTCGAGTTCTGGACTCTCATGGCCGTGTGCGTCCCAGGACACGCCCTGGAGATCGACGCCATCACGCAGCGTGAAGGTTTCCTGTGCCTGCGGCGACAGGTTAACCGCGACGTTACACTCTGCGGGCTCGCCAGAGACCTCCAACACCACGTCCAGACCCTGTTTGGTGGAGGACCTGTCGGACGACTCGTCCAGTCGCTCCAGCAGCTTCGTTGGACCTGGCCCACATTAGGCATCATGTACGACGACTGGTGCTGCCAGATCAGCTGGCTGAACTTACCCCAAAACGCCTTCCTACACATGCTGCGGGCCTCACAACGCAGAGCCTTTCTGCGGAGGATCAAGCCACGGCGTCACGACCTTGGATACCTTGCCTCTGTCAGACAGGGCCTCGACCTCTTCGCCAGCACGTGGCTCGCTCGAACTAAAGGAGCAGCCAAATGCACTGCCTGGCAGCTGGCGTTCCTCCTGAACTACCTGTCGGGCGGGGACCACACCCAACAGCGACGATCCCGATCAAACACGTCAGCTGACCCCAGCCCCATCTGCCGATACTGCGACGAGGAAGAGGAAACTCAGGAGCACACTGTCCGAGACTGCAAGTGCTGGGCCCGAGAAAGACTCCCTCTCACCACCCTCATCAGTGACGACCAGTGGGCCCGTCTCCCGCCGCACACAAGACACTGCGGGCTCTTCGACGAAGACCCAGCCCTCCTCGACCTTCAGGCCGACCTCGCGAGGGACCCGCTGCCACAGCCCATACCGCGGCCCTCCCTGAGGGAGATCCTGCGGCTTCAGCCCAGGACACCTACACCACCTACCTTGACCACGACACTGGTTGGACATGGGTCTACGCTGCCACGGACGGTGCATGCACCAATCAAGCCATCCCATTGCTAGCACGAGCGGGCTACGGCGTCTACTACGGCATCGACCACCGCATGAACTACAGTGCACGCGTTCACGGCCTAACGCAGAACGCCCAGGTTGCGGAGACCCTCGCCATTGTCCACCTTACGGCATGTGCCGAACGGCCCGTGCACGTTTTCGTGGACAACCAGGCGGTGGTCGATGGGTTCCAAAGCATCATCGACGGACATCCAGCGCCGCAGGGCACGCACGCGGAGCTCTGGGAAAAGATCCACCGATGTGTTATGGCCAAGCCCAACATGTTTCGCGTCGAAAAAATCGCCAGCCACCTGGGAGACATGGGCATCGACCTTGGGCTCATCGGGCCCATTGCGGAGGAGTTCAACCGTCAGGCCGACGCCCTTGCCACAATGGCGGCACGCACTCACAACCTTCCAGACGACATTGTCGAAGCTGCCAAAACACGACATCGCCAAGCGACCGTGCTCCATGGGGTCGCTGTCGCTATCTACGAGCGCAGACACCGCACTCTCCCACTCCCACACCGCAGGGCTGGGTTTACAGCTGCGGAACACAGCAAAATGGAACCAAACCCCCTGCTGTCGGACCAGGCACCACCCGCGGCTGGACCAGACATCCCGCAGAACCCGGACGAGCTCTGGGCCGAGGCCCAACGGGCGAGATACGACGAACAGGAGGACGACCCGTTCGGCTTCGGCGGGGGACTAGACTTCCTGGACGACGGGCCAGCCAGCGCCAACCTTGCCCCGTCGGGCATCCGCACGACGCCCTCGACTCCGCCACCGAGAGCGGCACCGCACCCACATGATGACGTCGCACACCTCCAAGACGCTGATGAACAGGAGGACGACCCGTTCGGCTTCGGTGGGGGATTGGACGTCTTGGACGACGGCCCAGCCAGCGACAACCCTGCCCCGTCGGGCAACCTCTCGACGCCTACCGCGACTCAGTCTCCGAGAGCGACATCGCACCCACATGATGATGTCGCCCACCGTCAAGACGCCGACGATGACCTGGTTGACCCCCTCGGACTGAGTGGCAGCATTGACGACGCTCCGCCGACACCCCACGCTGCCGACCATGCCGCCCTATCGAGACGCCACCCTACTACGCGGCCGACCTCAGAGCCCTCGCATGGCATCATGATTGGTCCTACCGTGCCAACCACTCCGTCCCCCCACCAGCGCCAGCCCGCGGGGGCGGCTTCAGCCCCCCCGCAGGGCACCGAGCCAGTCAGGCCGTCGCACCCCGTCCACGCTTCCATTGTTGCTGGGCGAGAGGATGCGGCTCTTCCGACCTCACGGGGCGTGGCCCCAGCGGCTCCAGCCCTGGGGCCGTGTGTTACCCTCCAGTCACCTCTCAAGGGTGACGGCCGTCAGCACACGGGGTGCCGTACTACGCTAGTCCACCACCTGGCCAGGCGCACCGACCTCGTCCCTGCCACGAGGCCCGCGGCCGCTGGCACTGAGCAGCCGCCCCTCACCGACCGCGAAACCGAGCTGTCCCAGGCTATGGCCGCTCTTCAGCAGAGGTGTGCTGCTCTCGCCGCGGACCTCGCCGCTGCTCAAGCCCGTCAAGGCCCTTTGCTCCAGCGCCTCCACAGCGCCGGGCGAGCCTTCGCCGAGCTGCTGACGCCCTCGTCCGATGGTGCCGTACCGTCATTCCCTATCCAAGCTATGCTGTCATCGCTCCGCGGCGTTCCACCTGGTGCCCCGCGCTAATTTCCTCTTTTCTGGCTGCCCGTGAGTACGCGTGGCTCCGCGTCCACGGTGCCAGGGCGCGAGGGCGGGGGGTGCCCCGTCCCTGCGCGCCGCTTTGCGGCCAAGCGCCCAACTGGCGGTCTGCCAAGCCGCCTAGCCACGTGTCAGCACGTCGCCTTCCTTGTTGGGGCCTCTTTCTTCACGCGGTCTGACAGGTGAGATCTTCACCGTCTGTCCGCCGTCTGTAGCGTCTGTCGCACTGCGCCGGGGGAGGGTTTTTTTGTTGCCCGCCCTCGTATCTAAAGGCTGCACCGCCGCAAATAGTGCTTGGCGAGTTGTCGCGCCGCAGTGCGCCTCGCGGACGGACCCTGGTCCGCCTACTTGTCCGCTCTCTCTCTCTCTCTCTCTCTCTCTCTCTCTCTCTCTCGCTCTCTCTCTCTCTCTCTCTCTCTCCCCCCCCCCTATCTCTCTCTCTCTCTCTCTCTCTCTCTCTCTCCCAATCTCTCTCTCTCTCTCACTCTCTGCACTGCCAGCACTAGCACTGTGACTGTACGGGAGCACTTCGAGCGCTTCCTCGGACCGCAACCAGCCACCATCGGTCACCTCCGAGCCGTAAACTGCCGTTCGGCCGCTTGGATCCCACCACGGCTCCACGCGGGCACAGCGGTCATCGTCCAGGGCCAAGTCCACAACCCCATCAACGGCCTCCGAGGTATCGTACGGGGGCAGTCCAGCGAGCACCCCGGCCACTGGACCGTCACGCTGTCGTCTGGGGACACCGCCCACCTGAGCTGCTCCAGTCTGACCGTCTCTGCACCTGCGCTCCGCGCCGAGATGCCGTCCCCCAGCACGGGCGCTCAGACCAAGGCCCAAACTCAGGGACCCCAGCCCGGCCCAGCAGTGGACCCACGCCACCATACCTCAGCAGCACAGCGCCCTGACGTCACGGCAGCAGTACCCTACAGGCCACCTGCGCTGACCGTCCCACCAGGCAGCCGCGGCCAGACTGAACGCACAGCTGACTGTGAAGTCGGACTCCGAGACTCACGCGACGACGGCGCCGACGACCACCACCTCCACCACGACCTCGGGGCGCCAGCGCCCGTGGGCTTCTGGGACCCGATCGGGCACACAGCCGACGGCCCCAGCTACGGCCCCCCTACGGCCGGCCCCTCTGCGGCGAAGCCCGTGAGCAGCAGCGTCGCCGCTGGGAGGCAGGACGCCGACCCCAGCGGCCGCAATTTCCAGGGTGCGGACACGCTGCGAGAGGTCGCGGAGATGCTGTCGCACCTGAAGGAGCAG